TGACCTCCAGCCTTACTTCTTCCCTTCTTTCCATCTCTTCTCTTCTTCCTCCTCTTTCCCCAAAATTACATCATATATTTGCACATTTAATAGTCTAAAACTCTTCAGAATAAAAGAAAGAGAAAAGGGAAAGGAAATAAAATTTGTTTGACTGTGTTATCAAGCACCATACATGGTTCTTTACATGCATTTAATTCTTTTAAACCTCATTATTTATAGGTCAGTTTGGAAAGACCTCAAATGCTAACCAAAGAGTAGTCTTTAGGGGATTTTCAGCAGAGAAGTAACATGGAAATTTGATCAGATTCAGTATTTGATCAAAACCCTCTACAGATTTTTATTTTTTCTGGTAGGAAAAGGCCTTCTGCTAAACAAGTATCTGAATCACAGATTAGCTATGTCATCTGAGAAAAAAAAAGCCATATAGTTTTCAGGGATGAAACAGCTTCCATTTCTGAATTTGTATTTAGACTATGCAAAGCTATATAGTATATGTACTTAAACTGTGTATTTGAAAAATAAACCTTGAAATCTCAATAGCTTAATACAGTAAAGGTTAATTACTTGGTTGTGTCATAGTCCAATAGAGGTTGAAGAGCCCTTCTTGGGAGCTCTCCCCCAAGTGGTGACTTGGGGATCCAAGCTTTTCCAATTTTATTAAACTATAATTTCAAACTCACAGCTGCCCAAGGTCACTACAGGAGAGTAAGGGAAAACATGGTCAATACATGAGGTTCGATGGTCAGGGATAGAGATTATGTACATCACTTCCAACCATATCTGAAGTACCTGAAGTACTATGAAGACAAGATTTTTATTTCTATGACAAGAATGTTAGAAAGCCACACAGGATTTTACAGACTTATCATTACTTCTGTTGTAGGTAACATCTAGACAAATAAAAATTTATTCTTTCACAAGCTACTTAGATAACCTAAGTTACCAAAATTTATTCTTTCACAAGTTATAAAGAATAAAAATTTATTCTTTCACAAGCTACTTAGATTACCTAAGTTACCAAAATTTATTCTTTCACAAGCTACTTAGATTACCTAAGTTACCAAAATTTATTCTTTCACAAGTTACCACTTAGATTTTCTCCCTTGGATGAAATTTCTAACGATGATTTTCCCAATTCCTGGTCTGACTATGTAAAATATAGAATCTATATGATTATTCTCGAAGGCTCTGGTCTTATATGTTATGCTATGTTTTTCCTCTCAAAATATTTAGAATTCTGTGAATCTAGCAGATCATGAAACAAGGTGGTTAACTGTTGTGAAGGAATTAACAGGGAAAAAGAGTTCAGACGGGATCCTTGAGTTGCATGACGGGAAGGAGAAAGAGAGACGTATAGTGACAGATTTTATTAGAGCAAGAAGATTCTGGAAGTTGGCAAATGAGAAATAATCTTAAAACCTCTGAGAATTCTAAAGTAATAGTAAGAGTGATTAGGATTTAACAGCTCTTAGGAAAGCAAGGGGCTTTAAATAAAAGACAAAAAATATAAAAGGAAGAAACAAAACAATTTTATTGTCAAAATAAATAATATGTTTTAAACACCTAAAACAAAGATAAAATTGTATCATAATTCCTATCCTTGTCAAATGCATACATACACACATACTTTTGAATAGTCAGTCTAAAGCTACATTAAAAATGGCTCAGCCATTTTTTGGATGTTTTCATTTGTGTTATGTAATTTAGGAATTTAATGATATATATTGCTGCAACTTCAATGTAAGTTCATAATACAGATAAAGATGACCTAAGCTATAATTTCTCCATCATTTCATGAATGACATATGCTAAAACTTAGAGTAATCTTAATGCTGATATTAACTAACATTTAGCGAGTACTTGCTATTTGTCAAAAACTGTGCTAAACTCTTTCCATATATTGGCTTATTTCATCCTCTCAGAATACCTTTCATGAAAAGTGCTATCATTGTTCATAGTTTACAGGTAAGAAATTGAAGTTTAGAGAAGTTTAGTAACTCCCCTTACAAGTAGCAGAGTTGGGATGTGAATGTATAGTGATTACATTTATAGATGTCCTCACGGATTTTCTCTTCTACCCATTGTCCATGTGTTTAAAACAAATCAAGAAAACACCATGAGGATCAAAAAGGGAGACAATTATAATTGTAAATTGGCAAATAAGATTATATTGCTGATAAGCTAACAAGTGGAAAATGAAAGCAATGAAATAGTATACTGGGGAGAGGATTTCATATTCTGTTTTACTATGAAAAACTAAAAGGACAATTGCAAATTATATTCCATTTTTAATGAAACTGCTATTTTTAATTCTTATAAAATTCAGGGAGCCTGTAAAATGGAGGTCTGGATTTTATGTCTAATGTGTTATCACTACTGAGTAATATTAGCTGGCTTATCATTTACAATTTTCTCTTAGGAAAGAAATGTGAAAATAGACATAAGGAGACATTGGTTAATTCAACCAAAGATTTTATTTGCTCCCTGAATTTCTTCTGAGTCTATCTATGTGCCCTAAGATTAGCAAGAGAGCCAGTGAGCCTCGGAAAGGCAATCATCAGTCTGCGTCTACATAGTTGGAGAGCTGTAATTACAGCAGCCAGCCTCCCTTGCAGCAGCATCACTGATGACTACCCTCTATGTCACAATGAAATGGAAATGATTTCAAAGGTAACCACCAGCACTGTTACACTCTGAAAATTTAAACTAGTCATCATACCTAAACTAAAGAAAAAAAATCACCTCCAATTCTGGTATTTTAATATTCATAATTACTAATATTTATCTATAATCTCTTCTATTTCTTAGCTACATACTTTAATTGTCCTCATAATGTAGATAAAATTTGATTGCTGATTTTAAAGTTAGTGTTGTTACATACATATTTATGTATGTTACTACATAAATTTAAATAATTGTCATTTTTAATTCTTAATATTTCACTAAATTCCATCTTTAACCATTTCTTTACTCATTGGACATTTAGAAAACCTCCTCTCTTTATTAGAAAAAATAATGGAGAAAAAATAAGAACAATAACGACCTCTTCACGAAATAGAAATCAAATCTAAAATGGCATCTGGGAAAAGTCCATCTTAAAAGTATAGGCAGAGTGGAAGGAGATGACAGGAGAGTGTTGATTTGGCAAAAAAAATAGACTACAGGTAGCCTATCATGTCAATAATTAATGAGCAAGTCATTAAGAGATGCCCATAATATATGTTTAGTTTCTTTAGAAAAAAAAGCAAAGTGAGTAAGAAGTTGATTTTGTTAACCTCAGGGCTTCATTTGATCTTATCTGTGGCCCTGGTAAAACAGTAACGTTCCTTTGAGAGAGAAAAGCAGAAAATAAGAAAAAATATAAAGGATTTCCATTCTAATTAAAATCCCTGTCAATAGGCTATGATCGAATCTTGTGAGAAATTATGCCATGTAACTTTTGTAAGAAGTAAGATGGTATACTATTGGCACCTAAAATTACCAGCAGTGGTCATCATGGAATTTATTTCATTTGGCAGAATCTTGGTTTACTTCACAACTTGTTCCCCAGGCTATTAAGATTGGTCCAAACTTGGCAATGGATTCTTTGGAAAAAATATTTCTTGATGATTTTAAATTTTCTTTTCCAGAGTCAAGAGATTTACCCAGGCTCAGAGTTTTCATTTATTTTCTCCCCTTTCAGCTTTTGAAAGAGAAAATCCTTTTTGTCTGCTTTGTGATTGCTTTTGTGTCAAATTCAGCATAAAAGCTTTTCAGACGTGACAGCATTAGCTGTTTTGTGCTTGGCTGAGCTAAGAGTACATGAATTCAAAAGAGAAGTGAAATCTTATTTGAGCCTAGCTGATTTGGCTATATAATACTTAAAGCTTTCTGAAGCGAGAACTCCAATAATTTATCAAATTATTAACTAAACATGTCTGAGGCTACAAAATATCTGTGTTTTGAAGACATTCTTTAAGGAACTTAAAACAGATACACTTAATCATGTAATTAATTTAAAAAGTTAGACTTGTTATATATAGTAAATACAGTAGCTATTTGAGAATCTCAAATTATTTTACTAGGAAAGAAACTAATCAGAGAAACTTCTTTTTCCAACATAGAAGTAGAGCCTTATAGTTTAATTATTTGGGGGGATGGGTGGTATTATATAATATCCTTATCTGCCATAAAGATATGTACAGTAACGGAAGCTGAATTCTGCTTTCACATATTTTGTTTACTTTTAGACTTGCATAAAATTAAAATAGACAAATCGAACCACACTGGTAGTTTGAGATTTGAATTTCTGATACAATAATGAAAAACATTATCAGAAATCTTCTTGCTAGGACCTGCCAGTTTTTCTTTATTCCTTTTTGCTCTCCCCAAAGCTTCCACATTATTAAGGAGAAAGAGTCAATAACCTCATAGTTACCTTTCCTCTCAAAGTAAATGTGAAGCTATTAAACTCCTCAAAGTGTACAGATTGCTTCCTACATCACTAATAGAGCACAGGAAGCAATGGGTAGTTTTCCCAGGTACTGTTACAACATATAAATATTTAATGCAGAATTACCAAGACTTAAATAGCGTTATGTTC